CGGGAGGGAATGTTTTGAGGGGAATTTGTGGTAAGATGTTTTACTGTAACAAATTTTTAAAGTGTTAACATTCACCATATAGTTTGATCACATCCCCATAAGTAATAAATTCTCCTTCCAATGGCATTAGCCTCTCTGTCATGTGTCACTCAGTTATCTGAGATGATCACCCAGCCTGGCTGTTGGCATTTGAGTTGGCCCGCGGTGCCTGGCATCACTGGAGTTCTTGTGAGGTTCGGGATTGGTTTGAGAAGACATTGGTGCTGGAGAAGGGTGAGAGTCCTTGTCCCCAAGCTCTCCTGAGTCCTCACTGAGCAAATTTCAGGGTTTGGCTGAGCCTTCTGGATATACTGATCCCACCCAAAGGCTTTGGGGGTTACAGGGAGTCTGGTGGGTCCTTGTAGTGGTTAGGGGTAAGGTACCTGCCAAGCCTTAACACGGAAGGAGGAGGGGACATGTCCCAGCATGGGGAGGTTTGGACACGTGGGGCCAGGGAAAGCAGCCAGGCTATGAAGGTCCCACGGAGTCTAATTCAGTGTCTGTGAAATGTCCATCCACAGAGACAGAACACAGACAAGTGATACTGCAAAGCAGAGCTGTTCTGTCAGGCATCGAGGATGCCTGATGAGCCGCACCCGGGAAGGGTTGGGAGCCGCTCATCCTAGGCTTGTGGAGTGGCTCTTTGCTTTGCTCAGTGGAAATATGAACCCAGAGAGAATAAATGTGTTGTCCACGGTCACTGCTGTGTCCAAAACACGCGGCCATGGGCTGGCCCGTTGTGCCTGTGAATGGGACCTCAGGTGGGCATCATTTGGTTAACGGTCTTGAGATGAAGCCTTCCAAAGGGGTCCCACATCCGATGGCAAATGTGCTTACAAAAGGCACACAGAGAAGGGGACAGACATGGAAGAGAAACAACGTGAAGACACAGACAGAGACTGGGAGATGCAGCCCAAGCCCAGGCTGCCTGGAGCCCCCAGAGCAGAAGAGGACAAGGAACATTTTCTCCATGAGAGCCACCAGAGGTGTGACCCGCATGTCAAAGCCAGGATTCTCCATCCAGTCCGTGCTTGGGGCCTATTAGAGAAATAGAACCAACAGACTGTGTACACACACACACACACACACACACACACACACACACACACACACAGATTTGTACAAGGAACTAGGGGGTGGCTCAGGGGAGCCTGTGGTGTAGATTCCAGTATGAAGCAGACTTAAGCTCCAAGAGTCTCAGATCTGTTTGAACTTAAAGGCAGGAAAAAGTGATGTCCCTGCCAAAGCAGTCCGGCAAGATGCCCCTCATTCAGCCTTTGAATCTCACCAGGCCTTCGGCTGGTTAGGTGGGGGCCACCCACATTAGAAAGGACCCTCCACGTGCCTCAGCTGCTGATTCAAACACTAATATCCCCCAGACACACTCTCACAGACACCCCGGGAATAACGTTCAATCGAATTATCCAGGAATCTTGGCCCATGAAGACGATGCATAAGCTTGATCATGACCAGGCCCTTTATTGTGTTTCTCTATGAATAAAACCCGGCATCAAGCCCAGGTCCCTGAGGCTCTAGAAAAGGACTCTGTGTCCGCCTTATACTCAGAGCACCACCCTCCCTTGTCATAGGCTCATCTACCCAAGGCAGGGGACGTGTGAGCCCACCTTGTCTCCTTTAGGTCGTGCTGACAGGGTCATTAGTTTCTCCAGCCCCTGCCTGCAAAAAGAATTCAATTTGCCTTTTATGACGCACCAATTGCAAGTTAATTAACTGGCAATTGAAAGTTATAGGTGACATTAGAATTTATTAATAACATTGTAAATAAATCTCCCTGGACTTCAATTAATTGAAAACCTCATGAAATTCTCTTTTAACATTCCATACAGCAGGTCTGGGGGTCTGCAGAGACCTCGGGGCGGGGGCTGAAATCGCAAGTGTGGGGCTGTCTGCCAGTGGGGAAGGAGTCTTGGCTCCACTGTCCGTTGTTGGTCTCGGTCCCCTGCTGGCCACCAGGGTCACCGCCTCTCAGGTTTGGGAAGGAGCCCCTCCCACTGCTGCCTAGTCCTGTTACTAGGTGTGTGTGATTCAAAACTCACATCTGGCCCCAAGCTGGGTGCTGGGGACATGAATGTCCCTACTCGTGGGATAGCAGGGACACAGAGCTGAGGGACTCTCTGGATCCAGCTGTGGCTGGGGATCCATAGGGTACCTTGGCCATCCTTGGCTGGGACTCAGGGCCACACTGGGTTGCTCACTTGTGGGTCTGTGTGATATGCCAAGGACAGGCATGGAGAGGGGACACAGGTCAGAATCCCTGGAAATCACTATGGCCCATCCACCTGCACTGTCCCCCTGTCCACTGTGGCTGGTGGCTGATTGTGGCAGGATAGGCAGGTACCACTGGCTGCAGGTCAAGGAGCTGGGCCCTTCTGCCCTGTCTGTACTTCCCACTACATGGCGTAGAGGACAGGACAGTCCCCAAGGCAGGCCCAGGTGGAGCCTGCACCTTTCTGTGTTCAGCTGGATAGATGTGGTGTGGACTGGAGGGCCCTGCCCTAGGCCAGGACTATGACTGGGCTCAAGCTCAGAGTCCTGGGAAGAAGCCTGATGTCAGCCAGGTCCCTACTACTCACTCTGAGCTCACACACACATGCACACACAAACATAGGCTCTTGCACACACACTCACTCTTGCACATGTACACACACATATCACCAGAGGTTGGTGTTGTCTGGTATTTGAGGAGGAAAGTCTGGTTCCATGTGGATGCCAGGGAAGAGTGTGCCAGAAGCAGCAGGGAGAGGGGAGATTCACTCCAAGGGGGCAGGAAGTAGCCCAGGGTGAGTCTGGGCTGGCAACATGGGCAGGGTGGCATGGAATGAGGGATGGGTGCTCCTGGACCCCAGGGACTATGTCCAGCCTCTAGCATCATAGCCAGGGTTTCTGGGTGACTACTTCACCCGGGTCTTGAAGGCTCAGGTCTTGAAGACTGAGCTCAGATGGGTGGGCAGGGGTATCCACAGGGTCATGCAAGGTCCCTCCTGGTACAGCGCAGAACTAAGGACCATATGGACCCAGTCTAGCCTTTGGCCACCGGGGTCAGAAGGGATAAAGTGCTGATGAGCTCCTTCAGAGCTGTGAGTGCCAGATTGCACCCAGCCCTTCCCCACCTGCTTGCTCCATCTGCTGTGGGCACCTGGCACCTCCATGCCCAGAGACAAACCTGGCTAGGAGGAAGCTCCCAGTCAAGACCTGGTGACACTGCCAAGTGACAAAGCCCAGTCTGGGAACATGAGAAGGAACCACAGCAGGCGGGTGAGGGAGGGAGGCTTGTACTTTGGAAACCTTCTACAACCCAGATGGAGAGAGATGCCAGGCTCTGCCCACCGCGCAGGGGCAGCTTCCTCCTCTCCGATATTTGGGGTCCTCCACAATCCCACAGTGGGCAGCTATTTTCATGTCCCATGAGAACCCCTTCTACCCCTCCCAAACCGGCTCTCCTCCTCGCCCAAACTTTGCTGTGTGTGACCCCAGCAAAGCCCTCAGCCTCCCTGGGCCCCAGGGACCCATTGTACACTGAGACGGGTGCCAGTGAAGTTGAAGGAGGTGGCAATTCATGTCACCGGGTACATGGCACAGTGCCCAATCCCATCTCTAATAGGATGACAAGCTCATGTCTATCTCCTTAGAGGGACTCTGTCCCTCAGCCCAGCTCTAGGGGACAGCACCTGCCTGTGACCTGGGCCCTGTGTGATCAGATACAGCTTGTCCACCCTGCTTGTGGGAGCTCCTGCTCTCCTGCCCCTTCAGCTCCTTGTGGTTCTGGGCTGGAGTCTGGGACCACCTGGACCTGCTGTCCCCCGTGTAAGGCTGTCTGGTGCCACTGCACAGTCCCATGTCCGGGCACAGACAGCAGCACCCACCTGCCTAAGTGTTTACAAGCAACCACTGTGCTCACTAGCTGTATGTGAGGTACCCCTTCTGTGGCACACACCCCTTCAGAAGGGCTTGGAAGGCAGCTTCGACTTCAAGATTGTCACCTCTCGGAGTTCTGCGCTGAAAGGTGACTGCCAGGAGACCCAGTCCATGCTCCCCGAGTCCCGGCCTTTTCCATGCTTGGCAGCTCTGTATGAGCTGAGATTCTCATTCATCCATTTGGCTTCATTCACTGAGGCTCCCCAGGGCCGGGGCCTAATAAGGTGTTAGCGCTGACACATGACACACAAGAAGAGAGGAAGGATGTGTGCTGTTGTTAGCACCTGCTCTGGAAGGAATGAGCCGAGGACTGTCCTCCCACAGAACACATCACATCCCCTGCCCAGCCGTCCTCGCCGAGGTCTGGCTTCAGGCACCTGCCCCACCCTGGAGCTCTGGGTGGCTGAGGGAGCTGTGCCAGCCCCAGCCGGGCCAGGCCCACATGCCTGGAGGAGGCCCTGGCCAGCAGGGGTGTGGGCAGGGCTGGATTCCAACGTTCATAAGTAAACAAAGTCAGGAAGAAGCCCTAGGCAGTCCCTGGTCCTGGGTTCCTGGAGTGGCCCAGAACCGCTCTCCTCACACCATCAGCTGTGTGGTCAGTCCAAGGTCCTTCTTCTCTACTAACTTTTGAGCTGGGGTGGGGGGGCTGGGCATGAGTTTGAAGGCCTGGGACACATGGCAGGCATTCTGCTTAGCAGCCACCCTGGGCTCAGCCCTGTCCCCTGGGCTTCTCTTGGGTCCCAGGGAGAAGAACTTGTAGTAGAGTAGGGGTCTCCCTGCCCAGAGTTCAGGAGTACCCCAATTGAGCTCTCCTTCTGGGGGATACAGCAGATACAGCTCTCCTCCTCAGATACAGCACTGCTGGGGGGCAGGCACAGCTTCCGTGGGGCCCCTCAGCCTCCCAGCCTCCACACTGGGCCACCTGCCTCCGAGGCTATGTGGCACTCCAGCCTCCCAAGAGCTGCCCAGGGCATCTGGGCACTGTATCAGCAGGATGCAGCCCGGTCTCCCATGAAGAGACACAGTGGGGAGGGACAGCACCTTTATTGTCAGATACAAGAAAAATGTCACAGGCCTTGAGCGCCCCTCCATGAGGTTGAGCAGACCTGCCTTAGGAGAGGCATCTGGGCCCAGCAGGACCTAGCTGCAGCCTCATGCGAGCGCCAAGGGCGCCAGGGTGACCACTCCTGCCATGCAGGGTGACGGCCACCGAGTGGTGCCAGCACCTTCTAGTCTCTGAGTTTCTGCTGTGGTTGAGTCCTGGGTCCTGGCCCAGCATGAGAGGAACATCGGGACAGGCAGGTCACAGAGAACTGGGGACTGAGAGGCCTCATGGGCTGTGGTCTGAGCTGCTCTGGGCCACTTGGACCTCGCTGGCCTCTGCCCTGGATCCTGCCAGAACCCCCAGCAGACCTGATATCTGGGTAGCTCTCTCCAGTGTGCCATGTCCCCCAGGTGTGACAGACTCCAGAGATCAGAGGGACTGGGAGGAGTGGGGGCTTTGTAGCACCAATGACCAGCCCTGATAAACGTGTCCTCCTGCCATGGTGGGTGGAAGGGCTGGTAAGGCTGTGGATGGGTGCAGAGACTGGGCAGGAGAGATGGGCATTGCCAGTTTGGTCAGAGGCCTTCCCATCGCCATCTCACAGTCCCCAAGTCCACATGACAGCCTGGTATATTTAGGTCTCCCTGGTCTCAGAGAGCAGCTTCAAGCCAGCCCCCTCTGCAGCCCCGGGAAGGGCACAAAGGGAGACTGGGGGCCTTGTGGGCTCCATGTCAGGTCAACTCCTCCTCCTGTGGCCCCACCTGCACCCTCTTGTCTGCTTCCTCATGAAAAGGAAGAAACTGGTCCAAGGGACAGGGCTTCAGGACCCAAGAAGCCAGGGTTCAAATCCTGTTAGGGCACCCCTGATCCTGGGGCCTTCATAGGTTATTTATGCCCTCTGAGCCCAAGACCCCACATCAAGTGGGGATAACAAGCCTACCTCCTACAGGTTACATGACGAAAGCTCCCTGGACGAGCCCAGACACCATGGGGACTGTAAATGACGAAGACTATGGTTATTCTCAGCTGACACCCAGCCCACCCAGACCCTGTCTCCAGCAGGGACTGGGGTAGGGTGGACAGGGCAAGGGGCAGGCTCTGCCAAGGGTGCCAGTCCCCTTGGAACCCCATCCTGGAGGCGCCATCTACCCCCAAGGCCCCCAAGCCAGTGTCCTTCACAATTGTCCAGGCTGTGTCCCTCATGGGCTTCCTCCAGGTCCAGTGGCAGCACTGCCCAGGCAAGTCTTTCGCCAGAGCTGGGCTTGCCCTGGAGATCTGGACCTCACTTCCTGCCGCTGGCCTGGCCAGTGCTCTTCTGCGCAGGTTCGGGCCCCAGGAGGGCAGCCAGGGCACCATCAGGTTGGGGGCCACCCCGCTTCATTTTGAGGTTGGCTCTCAGGGCAGCGTCCTGGCCAGAGCCCCCCTCAGGGGAGGCCTGGGGATCTGGAAGGAGGGAAGGAGAGGCTCGAAACAGTCTTGGCACTTGGGGCACCCCGGCTCCCAGCACCCAGGTATGAGGGCAAAGGGGCAAGGCAAGACAGCAACTGGTCTGGGCTCCTCATTCAGCTATCCCGCCATTCACTCACCCACCCATTCATGCCTCCACCCACTGGTTCATTCATCTCCCTCCATTCATCCATGCATTCATTCATGCATTTAGTCAGATGCACTCATTCACTTACCATTCATTCATCCATCATGGTCCCACTCATTCACTCAGTAACAAACAGAGACACCAGCACTCAGCAGAAGAGGATCCCGGAGCACCAGAAAGAGATGCCGGCCCCCACCCATTATGTAGGGGCACCAGTGTTCAGAGGGGGAAATGGCTGGTCACAGATGCCGGGAGGGAAGGGGCTCCCATGTTCGCTGTGATGTCACTGGGCTCATGATGCTGGAGGAGCAGGGTGGACACACCGATGTCCCCCACAGTGGACATCCCTTGAGCAGTGGAGAGGCAGTCACATGGGTCTGGCAAAGTCCCCTGACAGCCAAGTGCCTGGGAGTGCAGGGGCCTGAGGCAGTCACCGCACAGTCACAGGGCGTGGGAGGCGAGGGTGGCGGCCCAGCTGCTGCTCACCATGGATGCCGATCATGTGCTCCAGGATGAGGACTCTCTCCGCCAGGATCTTCAGCGCCTCTCGCAGCTGCTGCACCCCCTCGCCCTGGTGGGAGGAAGGCCGGGGTCAGGGGCAGGGCCACCGGGACACGGTGGACATGGCTCACAGCCTGCCAACCTCCTTCCCACCTGTCACCACTATCATGAACAGCTGTCACAGTCACAGACTGAGCATCTGTGCGCTGGGCTGGCTTCCAATGCTGTTCGAAGATGACAACCCTAATGCACAGAGGGAGCAGTTGCCATTCCGGTGGCCACACAGCCAGGACACGGGCGACCCAGGCTTCAAATCCAGACCTGTCAGCCCGCAGCGAGGGTTTTCCATCTTACCATGGCTACCTGGTGGCTTCCCTGTGTGTGTCACTTCCAGAAAATACCCTGAAGGGCCAGGACACCCAGCACAGGGCCCTGCTGGCCGCCTGAACACCACCCATGTGGGAGCACCAGCTGCACCTCGTGGCCCAGCAGCCAAGAGCAAGGTGCACGGCCGCGGCTTCCTGAGGTGCTGGAAGAGGAGGCTTCACCTCAGAACCCCCGTCCACCCAGGCAGAGGACCTCATGTGCAGGGACACATGACTAGCTGAGACGGGCGCCCTCGTATCAGGAAGACAGCTGTCAAGGCCACTTTGCAAAGGAAAGTGGGGGTGAAGAGACAAGGCCGCTGTCCATGACCAGCCCAGCCCAGGGTGCTGGCGGCAAGATGGGCGCCGTTTAACAGGACAGGGCTGTCGTTACACTCAGGCCAATGCCGCTGCAAACTGAACTGAAGAAAGCCAGGCCAGGTTTCCCTCCGGAAGCCAAAGGGGACAGGACACGATGTGCGGTACTGGGGACAGATTGTCCAAGTCCCCAGCCAGGGAAGGAGATCAGGTGGAGGACAGGGAGCTCCAGACCCCTGTGTCAGGAACCCCAATCAGCCTCCTGTCTCTGAACCCCAAGTTATTCTCATAAAATGGGGTAGGGGATGTCCCCTGGCAGGTGCCCTGTGATTCAGCATATCCCACCTTTCCTGCCCGACACCACTTGCCAGCACAGGAGTCCTGGTCCCACTTGCTCCCCCGGGTCCCAGTCCAAAGCCCCCTTGCCTGTGACCGTCTTCTCCTCAGGACAGTGATTTTCCCCTCCTGGCTCCGTCCCAGGGCTGGGCACCCCAGCATGACACTGCCCTGGCGTCACCACTGCACCCACTGGGTGTCATCATGAGAGGCTACGACCTCGTATGCCTGGTGGCCCAGCCCCGCCCTGGGCTGGCTGAGGGGCCAGTGCAGGCCCATGGTACTCCCTGGCCCCAGCACTCAGCGGGTGAATGACAGGTATAATTAGTTACCTCTGTGGTGGCGGCTTTGTCCCCTTCTTCTGAGGTCATGCCAGGCTCACTCTAGGAAGCAAGCCGTGCAGTCAGCACCCTGTGAGGTGAGGTGGGCATCTCACCACCCTTGCAGGAGGACCTCGGGGACAGGTGCTGGGCCCTGGGGACTCTGCTCCGAGGTAAGGAGAGCGGGCCTGGCACAGGCAGAGGCCTCGGGGGCAGTGGAGGCTGCGCTCGGGCCTGGTGAGCTCCAGACTCAGCTGTTCAGCAATCAGGCAAGTTGCTGCCTCTCGGTACTCTGCTCCCTGGCTCTAGACTGGAACTCGTAGCCAGGTGTGGTGGTGCACACCTGTAATCCCAGTACAGAGGGAGGCTGAGGCAGGAGGATCACACGTTTGAGCCCAACCTGGGAAACTCAGCAACTTAGTGAGACCCTGTCTCAAAAAGTAAGAAAAAGGGCTGGGGGTGCAGCTCAGTGAAGGCCCTGGGTTCAACCCCCAGCGTCAGAAAGAGAGAGGAAGAGAACAGTGTGGAGGACACGGGAAGGTCAGACCCAACCAGTGCCCGGGCCCTGGGGGCCTCTGCACTGGGCCCAGCCACAACTTCCGGTCCTGTCACCTGCATGGCAGGGCAAGGCCAGGCCCTCTGTCACACACATAAAGGCATGGTTGGCCTCGGGCTCAGGGAGCAATGCCAGCAGCGACTGTGGTGATGCCAGGTCCACTTTCCAAGATGTCTCCTAGGTTTGGATCTGAGATATGGCCAAAGACCATATGCCAGAGCCTGTGTCCCCAGGCAGCAGTGCTCAACAGTGACAGGGCCACAAGGGTGCCACACTTACGGGCACAGGAGCTGTCTAGAGAAGGGTCTCAGATGTAGGAAGTAGTCCCTGGGCATGACCTGGAAGGGTTCTCTTGGCTTGGCCTAGTCCTCTTCCTCTGCTTCCTGTCTCAGGGCCTTTGCACTTGCTCTGCCTCGATCTGAACTGATGGCTGGGTTTGGAGCCACTCAGGATGCTGCCCATGGGCGATTCTCCAGAAGAGGCAAAAGGTCACAGCTGCTCACAGAACAAGACTCCTGCATTCCCTTCCCTAGGTGCCTGGCCGGTGTCCTATGCTGGTAGTGGCCTGCCTTTCCCTCCCCTAGGACACAGCGGTCTCTAGGCTCATCCCCTGCCCCACACCAGAAGTGGCCAAATCCTCACCTGGGATCCTGGGGCTCCTGGAGGTCCCGGGGGGCCGTGCGGTCCTGGGGGACCTACGGGCAGAGTCACCAATGGTCACCTGGGCTAGGAGAGTCCACTGTCCCCATCAGCGTCAGAGGGATACTCCCAGCCTCCCCACTCCAGCACCTGTGCCCTGGGGCTGTCCCGGCAGGCAGGGAGTGGAGGTTTGTTGAGGGGCCACTGGGGACCGGAAGCTACACGTGCTTCAGGGAGCCGGTGCTGGTGTCCCCCAGGCATCTCAGAACCCCACACGCAGTGCCTCAGCCAGGCCTCTCTCAGGGCTACCGAGGGCCTCACCTTCTCCACCCCCACCCCAGACACCCTGCTGGAAAGTTCTGCTTCAGGTCTGCCTGCACTGCCCCCCCATGAAGCTTCCATCACCTACCAGTCTTGGTAGAGGGCTGCCTCCCCCAGGAAGCCCCCCGTGCTGCCTCCTCTTCTAGACACATCTCTGACCCACGTGGGCACACAATCATCTCCCCTACCATCAGGGGCACCCGGGGTCAGATTGTGTCTCATGTGCCCCCCCCAAGGGAGATGGGTCCAGAGAGACCTCAGGCATGCTAGGGACACAAAGGGCCTGTCCCACGACCTGCACAGGCCTGCTGGGCTGTACCAACATGGCTGCTCTGGGCCAGGAGAGGACACCGGGCAGGGGTGCAGGCCAGACTCAGTCTCATTCCAGAACCAACACTTCCCTCTGGCCCGAGATCGCAGGGATGTGCTAGGTCCTCAGGGGTCCCCATCGCCCCGGCTCACTACCTTGTCCCCCTCAGCACTGTGCACTTTTGGGGGAGGCCTCTGACCCTGCAGACCCCGCCCCACTGCTGTGCCACTCACTTAGCTTTCTCAAAACCCACGGAAGTGGCTTATTGCCTGCCCTCGTTAGAGCGTGAGTGTCTAGCGACAGTGACGGCATGTATTTATCAGTGTCCTGGGACCTGGAGCCCCGCCCAGCACATAGTAAGTGTGAAGTGAATGTTTGTTGATTGCACTTAAGATGGAGTGAATGGCCAGATGATCTGTCAGGCACTGGAGGTTCTGTTGGGCCATAACATACATGTAGCTGGGCACCAGTCCCTGCCTCCACTCCCCTCCCAGAGAGCATTTGTGGGCAGATGGGGTCAGATCAGGGCCCCCACGCTGAGCCCCAGGTCTCCCTCCCTCAGGGCTCCCTTTTCTGCTTCTCAGTGTGAGTCCTTTTGCAGGCCCAGGCTGCCTCCCTGGGGAGGCGGATCCCACCTCCCTGCCTCCCTGCCACCCTGCTCCACAGGGAGCTGCCCTCTGGGGAGACGGATCCCACCCAGGCCACACAGACTGGGATGACCCTGGCTGCCAGCTCAGGCCAAGCTCAGGAGAAGATCTGTCAGCTACTTACCCGGGGGGCCAGGAGGACCCCGCGGCCCAGGGACCCCCGCCAGCACTGTGTCCACGACAGCAGGTCCCAGCTGAGAGTCCCCATCTGCAGGAAGAGGAGGCCGAGCAGAGCTGGAGCCCGGGCCAAGGGTCAGCCTGGCAGTCCAAGGCCTGGGGCACAATGGTCCCCACAGCTCAGAGGGGCACACAGAGGCCCCGGCAGGGAAGCCAGGCTGGCACTCCCTCCCTCGGGCTGGCAGTCTCTTCGAGGCTCCCTGGGGGCCCAGCCCAATGCACCCTCCTCGGGAAGCTCCCCCCGCCCCCTGAGCCACAGCACCCCTGCAGCCCCCACCCCCACGATCACACTTGGGGTGGCACAGAGCTCACAAGTGACTTCTATGGTCCTATGTGAGGTCCTCTTCCAAGCCCAGAAATTCTGGGATGGGCAGGTAGCCCGGGCCCACCCTGCATGCACGATGCCAGGACTGGTGGCACACGTCACTTGGCAGGTGAATGTCAGACTAGATGCCAGCCCCGGGGATGCCCTGCTCCAAGATGCTCACATCTCAGCCCTCTGGGCATTGGGTGGTATGGGGCAGTGCCAGGTGTAGGGCTTCATGCCCAGGCCAGAGCAGACAGGGCCCTTGACTGGCATCTCAGGCTCAGGGTGGAGGCTACCGACTCTTGAGGACACTGCAGGCCCACAAGCCCTGTCTATTGGTCCCTGCCAAGTTCCCTGTGCCCACTGCCTGGGAAGAAGCCTAGCCTGACCTCTCCCAGCCCTGCCATCTGCCAGCCTCTGCACCCACAGATGGTATTTGGGACCCTGTTCTGCTGGGAACGAGCCCTCCTCCTCCTGCAAGCTTTGGAGCATGGCCATCTCTCCTCTACAAAAAGAGAAACTGAGGCTGGGAGAGGGCTGTGCTGCCTAGGGGGACAGAAGCCCAAGCAAAGGTGGACCTTGAGTGACAACAAGGTGTCCCCATCCCCGCAGGAGTAGATCAGTAGCTCCCCTTAGACCTCTCCCTGGCCGCCCAGGTGCTCAGCTGAAAACCAGGCTCCCTCTGCCCAGCCGGGCCTGGGCTCACCGCCCTGGACCCAGCATCCCCATGTCCTGCTCCCCATCCCCAAGTGGAAGCAGATGTTTCTGCCCATGTTTTGAGGCCCCTTGGGCATGAGGTGGCCCCTGAGGGCCTGAGTTTGCCCATTTTGCTCATGTCCGCACCCAATACATAGTAGGTGCTCAGAAAACACACCTGTAGGGGACCTGTAGGAGACAACAGGGGCCAGGGATGAGAGTATCAGGGCAGCCTCGCCAAGAAGAAAGTGGGCCAGGCTAGGAAGCAGAGCCACCTGGGGACTGGGGGCAGGACCCAGGGGCGGGAGTTGGGCCCTGAGGCAGGGACAGCCACCCTGGGCTGAGAGCAGAGTTGGGGCAGCCCTGGCCCCTGGATGCCCCTGTCCACCACAGCCAAGCCCGGCTCCCAAGCTGACCCCTCTGGCGGGATCCCACTTCCCAGGTCCCTTGGAGGGTTGGACCCTCGGGAAGGCGCTCGGTCTGCCCCGTCCCTCATGCAACACTCACTGTCCTTGTCCGTGGGTGGCTGCAGGGAGTAGAGGACACCTTGGGGGTCGTTTGGTGAGAGGCCTGGACTGCCTGCTGGGCCAGGGGGTCCTGGGGGCCCGGGGCGCCCCGTCTCTCCAGGAAGCCCACGGGGCCCTGGTGGGCCCAGGAGCCCTGTGTCGGGGAGAAGAGGAGACATCGTGATGAAGAGGGTGGCGGCCGAGGCAGCACAGGAGGGCAGAGAGGGTGCTTGAGAGGGGAGGAGGGGAGCAGCTGAGAGCCCCAAAAAGCCTGGGGTGCTCTTTCCTCCAGGAACAGCGTCAGGCTGGGGGTCCTTACCTGGAGGCCCCACTGGGCCCTTCTCTCCCATCTGGCCCCGGTCCCCTTTGGAGCCTGGTGGTCCTGCAGGTCCTGGTGGTCCTGTCTGTCCGGGGGGCCCTGGGGAGACAGAGAGACGAGACTGAGGACACTGAGGGCCCACGTGCCCCTGTGCTCCGTGCCTGGCCCCTGTAGGACCGCTGTCCGCAGATGCTCCTCCACCTCTCCCAATGGCCCCAGAGCCACTGTGACGTGGTGTGTCGGCCACTACAGTTGCCAGGCCACCTTCATCCCGTTCCTGCCTATGACCCCAAGAACTGCTTTCACTTCTGTGTTCCAGGTGCAGAAACAGACTCAAAGGTTTGGTCCTTTGCTCCAGGTCACAGAGCCAGCATACAGTTCAAATTTTCTCACCCTGGCAGATGCTCCCCATTATGGCATCTTGGACACACGGGCCCAACAGGGGACAGAGGACAGGGAAATGGGAGGTCAGCTCTCTGATCTGGGGATAGCCCCTTCTCCCTCTGGGTTTTCGGAAAAGTCGGGGGAGAGAAAAGAGAACAGAGGGAAGAGGGAGGCAGGCTGCCTGTGATTCAGGGTTCTGGAAGGAAGGGCTCCCTTGGGAGGCAGCCAACTTCTGGGAGCCCAGCGACAGCCAAGAGGACTTCCAGGAGAGGCCCATTGCTTGGGTGCGCGCGCCATCTAGTGGCTATGAGTGGAACTGTATATGGCTTGGTAAGAAAGGTCTGACCAGGAGACCCAGCCCCCTCCCAGCCTCCCACCTCCTCAGGCCTGAAGAAGTAGGGGCTCTCTAGGATAACATCTTGAGGACAGCAGCTGGAGGGGTGGGCCGGGGGCCAGAGTAGCAGACCTGAGCCCCACTCCTGTCACAGCCTTCAGATACCTGCTTCTGATCCCTGACCCTAGGACTGGCCCCTAAGGCTGCTGCCCTGCTCAGCCAGAGATCTGCCCTCCAGCCCTACCGCACCGGTGGCAAATTCCTACACACAGATAGGCCAGCAGAGGTGGGGGACAGGTGTGTGTGCTCAGAGCTGAACAGGGAGGGAAGGAGCGGCGTCCCCTCCGTGGGGGGTTGAGGATCATCAGGGCAGGCTGCCTCCAGCCCGCTGGTGACCACAAGGAGTTACCTGGCTTCTCAGCCCACTGTCTTCTGCAGTGCCCAGGGACACAGGCCAGAGCAGGCGATAATTTGCAGATGGTTTTTTGGCTTTGGAAGCCAGGGCCTTTACACTGTGCTACATCCTCAGCTCTTCTTATTATTTTTAATTTTGAGGTAGGGTCTTGTTAGATCACTAAGTTATGCAGGCTGCGCTTGCATTTGCAATCCTCCTGTCTCAGCCTCTCAGAACTCTGGGATGAGGGGCATGTGTCATCACACCTGGCTTACAGAGAACATTTCCACTCTTGCCTTTGAAACGTGGCGAAAAGGTGAGCTGTCGGGTGTCCTCCAGCTGTACTTGAGAGCTAGTAACAGTGGCCCAAAAACTGGGTAGGGGGGTGTGGGGGGCTATAAGCTCAAGGTCCTGGGGTGCGCAGGCAGGGGTGCTGCAAGACGTTGCTGAGCAAGTGTGGTGGGCTGGGGGCCCAGACAGCCACCAGGGGACAGTGTGGAGCTGGACACAGGACTGTCAGCACAGTAAGGAGCTGTGGGGACAGTAGCAGACTGCTGGGCTTGAACCAGATCTACAGTGGCCACTGTGACTTACAAGATGTGATCCAATACACAGAGAATGTTTAGATTTAAAAAACAGTGCCACGAGGCCCCCTCAACATCCCCCATCTCGCCGCACACAGGCTCATCCCGCTGTCTGGCTGCTCTCTGAAGCACTTCCGGAAGTCTTTTGTGGGTGTCTGTACGAGGCGTGATGAGAAACACCATGAAGGCCGCTGCTGAGCGCCACCCAACCGAAGAGCAGCCTCATAAAACGTGCCCCTGTGCCCTCATCCACCCTGGTCACCGGCTCTGGCACTGTGTGACGTCTGCCTCTTCCACAAAGTCACCACGACCGGGAGAGGGAAACACTGTCCATGGAGTCCGACTGAGGCAGCTGTGACACACAACTTAAAGACACCTGTGTGGCAGAGGACGTCCGGAACTGCTGCAGAAAGGGGCAGACGGGAGGACTCACCTGTGCCAAGCTGGGAGCGGGTTGTGGAGGGGGATTCATGGCGTTGTGTCTACTGTTATAATTCACTTTTTAAAAACGATCACGCCTTATAGTGACAACTAGTCATTTCCAGCTGGCCCTGATGGGCAGCCCTTATAAAGAGAAGTCCTGATCTTTACATGAACCTCCCAAGGTTTGAACTCAGGCCTGGCGCGGGGCCCCTTTGCAGAGGCCCCAGCAGGTCACATCAGCCCCTTCCGAGTGCCTGCTCACCAGCTGGGCCCGTGGGCCTCCTCCTCCGGGGTCCCGGGTGGGCCAGGGGGATGGCGTCAGGCAGGAAGTCCTCGTTCCAGGGGGGCGGTGTGCTCTGGGGCACCGGCAGGTCATTGTCAGGGCCCGAGGGCTGCTCGGCTGCTTCTAGCAGGAGGACCTGGCCAGAGAAGTGCAGAGGTGAGGCCCCAGCTGCAACAGGGACACGCCTAAGCAGGGATGCGCCCCTCAGATCTGTCACTGTCCACTCCGCAGCTGCTCGGCACAGCTCCTGTGGGACCATTCGCTCCCCGAGCCCTGCCCCTGCCAGGAGAGCCCCCCACAACCCTGGGAGCACCTTCGTGCCTACCACCGAGTCAGTGACAGAGCCACAGCCCCGCTGTCCCTTCATGGGCAGCTCCCTAAGGGAGGGGGTATGGATTCCTCCCCTCCCTGCCTGGCTCAGGGCACAAGCTAAGCTCCTTCCTTGGTGAGGAAATATTTGTGGGTGGTTGAGTGGGAAGATGGAGGAAGGATGGATGGAAGGAAGGAAAGGGAGAGAAGAAAAGAGCAGGGGAATAACAACAGAAAGGAAGAGAGGAAGGGAGGGGGGAAAAGAGGGAAGGAGAAAAGCCAGTAGGGTGGAAGGCCTGCAGGAAGAAGAGAGGCAAAGTCCAGACAGGCCCGAATGGTACAGCGTCCCCAGGACCCTCCAGGAAACCACAGATGCTGCCACTCCTGGGCTGGGCCTGGAGCCAGCCCCGGCCGAGTCCCGCTGCCCCCAGGACGCTGACGGGGCGGGATGCAGGCGGTGGCCTCGCCAGGCCCAGTGCTGGGGGCCCCGTTGCTGATGATGGTGCTGGGCATTCACACGGACAAACAGCAGTGGTCACAGAGCCCAGGCAGGGGCTGGACAGTTTCCGGGGTGTGCGGACACTGGCTGAGCCTCCCCACGCTGTCCTCTCCTCTCCTGCCCACCTTGGCCACTCTGCGTCCCTTCCTCTGGTCCTCAGGAGGCCCAGGAGACAGAAGGCACCCTGCAGGGCCACATCACACCTGAGGTGAAGGCAGGGCTGAGACGGCACGTGACCTGTCCAAGGTCACCCAGTAACTGACTGCGCGTCCCTTGTCATCAAATGAGGCGGTCCCACCCCAGCTCCACTGTGTGTCAAGGAGTTACCAAGCAGGACAGTGGCTCAGTGGGCACCCGGCCTGTGACTCCTAAAGCCCCTCAGGAAGCAGGGTCTGGATGCCACCCCAGGTGCTAATAGCCAGGGCCAGGGTTGGGACTGTGGTGCAGGGAGAAGACACCAGGAAAACACAGCCCTGGGGTCCTGGGAGGGACTCAGGATGGTGGCCACAAGGGTGTGGTGAGGGGACAGTCAGGACAAGGGCTCCAGGGAGGGATGGCAGAGGACCTCTACTCCAGGCCTGGCTACTGGGGACAACAGGATTATCACCCATCAGACAGGCACGGGAGAGGGCAGGTTTGGGGCACAGGTGGCAAAGGCAGTTGGGATGGTTGTGGGGTTCCTGGGGACCTCCAGGGGGCGTATTTGATGGGGTTTGGTGCCAGGGGGCATTGAGCCTGATGGGAGTCAGGACATAGGAGGGGATTTGGGAGACGTGGTGGCCAACCTAGACGGTGCCTCCTGCACCCTGGGGTTCCTACATCCCTTCATGCAGGGGTCCGGCTCCCCCGTGGCACCTGCCACCAGCACTGTGCCCAGCACAAAGGCCTGGCTTGCTCTCTCCACCCCCACCAGGCCACATTTGAGTGAGCCCGGCAGAGGCCAGGCTGCCCGGCCCTGAGGTGGCCACACTCCAGATGCTCAGATCCCATCCACAGCTGGCTGAGCCGCCAGGGCACTGCAGGGACACAGGGACCTGGACAGGAAACCGCACTGCGGCCTTGGAGAGCTGAGCCTGATGACATCACTGCAGCCTGGATGTGGCCAGGCCACCGCCCGTCCTCCTGCACAAGACCAGCCCAACTCTGAGACGTCTGTGACCTTCTCACGGGGAAGTCCCTTTGGGTCTGCCCAAGGCTGAGGCGGAGGAGGAGAAAGGCAGGAAACATCCTGGTGCCCTGTGCCTCTGCCCACCGATCTACCCTGGGACACAAAGTCAGCGGGTGTCCCAGATCAGGTGCCCAATTCCCCAGTTCCCTTGCTCTAGGAGGTGATCACATTAGATAAGCACTGGCCCATGAAAATGAATGCGTCTGCTAGGATGCTTTGCCTCACCCTCTACTTCCTGCCTTTGAATGCTGAACACAGTATGCAGATGTGATGCCTTGTGCTGCAGCATCCACTTTATAACCCTGAGGCACCAAATATGAGGATGAAAGCCAATTCACCAAGCGCCGGAGAGGAAGGCTACGATGCACCTCAGTCTCCAGACCTCTTGGCTGCTGCCTGACTGCTGGCTCCCTGCTGGGTGGGGCCTGCCTGGCTCTGCTTCACCTTCCAGCTCCTGTTGTGGCCTGGGCTGGTGCATTGCTGTAAACTCAAGCAGCCTCCTAACCCTCCTAATCCAGCACTGCCTCCACATGTGTCTTCTTTATCTGTCCGACCACATCACGGACCCTCAGCCCTCCTCAGCCCTCCTCAGCCCTCCTCAGCCCTCCTCAGCCCTCGCCATCCCCCTCCTGGCTAGGTTCCCAATGCCCTGAGGACTGGCACTCTGGGCTGCTCTTTGGAGGGGGCAGCGGCAGTGGTGGCCCAGCCAGGCAAAGGCCAGCGCACCCCACATGCACTCGCAAAGCTCCGGGGGAAGACAGGGCAGCAGGGTCACCCAGGGTTCTGTGCTTGTGCATCGGAGTGTGTGCGTGTGTATGTGCACTGATGTGTGTCTGCAGGTCTGTATACACACGTTTGTGTGTGTGCATGTGTAAGCCCGCATGGACACAATGCTGTGTGTGCACGTACACACGAGATGTGACGTGAATATGAGTGTGCGTGTATGTGTCTCTCACCCTGTGGGTTCTTCGGGGTGTGGACATGGTGTCGCCAGGGCCAGCTCTCCAGGCACAGCCTCCCGCTGCTGCTTCAGCCCAGGGGGCAGGGCCTGCCCCAGCCAGGCCTGCACAGCCTGGGCCCGGCTAGCTACTCCCTCGGCGCCTGCACCAGGCTGTGGGCTTGGAGAGCAGGGTTGACACCTTTGTGCAGATGCTGTGGGCACGCTATGCTTACCCTTGGTCACACGGCTGCAGGCGCCTGTGACTCTGCCAAACACTTGCTGCTCGAATGGCCATAAGAGCAGCTGGGTGGGTAGGGACAGGCCACAGGGATAGGAGAGATGTGAGCTTGGTGCTGCCTCCCAGCAGGTACCCAGTGTCCCTGCACCCCCATCCCAGCCAGCTCCCCAGTCTGCCTGACCTTGGCCTCCAGCGTGGTCAGCCGCTCGCTCATGTCCGTGAGCCGGGAGCAGTTCATGCATTCTGAAAGACAAGGGGACTTAGTGAGGCCTGAGGGGAACCTGGACTGAGGGCAGCCAGGCACAGTCACAGCCTCTGGACCTCAGGGAGGGGAATCTCAGTGAGTTTGCTCTGAAAACTCCTATCCATTCTCCGAGGCCTTATCCTCAAGGCCCCCTCCTCCATGCAGCCTGCTGGGTCTCGGCATCTCTGTTCTGAGCGCCCAGAGTACACTGTGCTGTCTCTACAGCAAAGGGTCAACTCCATGCCAGGCACTGAGGGGGGGTCTGTGTCTATTCTGTCCACCTGGGAATTTCAGTGCCTGGCACAATCTGGGGACTCAAAAACTATCTGAAACTGAATAGGGGAAGGTAAATGAGATGAGATTCCTGACTCTGAGGACCACATCTGGGAAGGACCAGAGCAGACAAACACAGGTCCTACGGGCTGTACCGGGCGGTAAGAACGGAATGCTGCGGGAAAGTCACAGAGGCGGGTGCAGCCAGGGAGGGCGTCCGGGAGGTGGCATCGTCTAGGGGAAGCTTGAGAGCTGCACAGAGCATGCGCTGAGGCCTGAGGGGCACTGAAAAGGGCAGCATCTGTAGCCAGCTCACCCAGGGACCGCTAGGACCGCCAGAGGCAGCTGGGGCATGGAAGCGGGCTCAGCAGAGTCCAGAGGTCAATGGGCAGCTGTTGGAGTCTCCAGGCAGGTGAGAGCAGCGATCCGATTTGTGCTTTGAAGGGCTGACCCTGGCAGCTGGGTGTCTTAGAGAAGCACCAATCAGGGACACAGTCACGGTGACCCCCAGGCTCATCCCCGCGGGTTGTGACTATTTATGACGGTCTCTCCAGGCCTGGGGCGCTCGTGTGAGGAGGCAGATGCTTCAAAGCTGCTGAAAAGAGCTTTTATTGCTCCGGACGTTGAGGTTCTCATCCATTCCTCTCCTTCCCAGCTGGCTCAGAGCCCAACCTCCCCGCCCTGGAACCTCCCAGTCTGGCTAAACAGACATGTAGACACCGGAGGAATGTGGGTGACTTGATGGCTCCCGTGGCCTGTGGGACCTGGATTCAGCTTGTTCTTGCCAGACCTCTGTTCACGGGTCCTTGGAGGCCACTAAGTACAAACCACATGCTAAGGTCCTTGCGCAGACACAGTGGTCCCTCCAGGAGAGGTGCAGTGACTGTGAGAGGACCTAGGAAGGACCACGAGAGTAGATGGACAGGCTGTGTCCTCTCCAGGGTGCCCAGAGGTGAGAGGGAGGACCTGCCTGTCTCCCACCCTCCTGGCTCCTGGGGGCACCCCATGGGCTGGCAGTTCCCCCAACCTCCTTCCCCTGCACCAGGGCTGTGCCAAGTTAGTGGTTTACAGAAATTTTTAGCAATAGAACTCTCTTTCCCCCTCCATAAAAGTTTGTCAGCAACCCCGATGCAGAAATCAGATTAAAGCTGAGCCTAAACACTCAGCGCTGAAGCCACTCCAAGAATGGACACGGTGGCCTGGCACTGGGGCCTGGTTTTCCGTGGGGGACTGAGCACATACGTTGCTCTCCGGTGTCTCGGGAATGGGAGGTGAAGATAGCAAAAAGTAAAGTCCACAGAGCCCAGAGAAAGGCCGCAGAGGGACCCCAGCAGAGAGGCGACACAAATGATACCCAGAAGATGCAAGCAATGGTGGTCCAGGTAAGAGATGGAACAGAGCTGGGGCCCAGCGCCAGTCACGGGAGAACCAGAGGTCAGGGAGGTCAGAGCCACAGGAGCTGGGGGGAGCTCCGGCAGAGAGCAGCGGGGTCTGTTCTGGGGACAGGGACCTGCCAACAAGGAGAAACCCATGACACTGGTGCCTGGGAGGCCTCTGGAAAACACCTGGGCCCCCGAGAAACCAGCCCCCATGGGGCCCTGACACACAGATAAGGCCCCTGGGCTTTTGGTGGCTCCTTGGTAAGTTCCAGCAGCCAGGATTCCGGGGCTGATAAAGACGCCCTCTCTGGGAACAGAAGGGTCCCACTGTCGGCTACCAGTCCCGCAGCCACCCCCTTCCTTTGCCCACCAATATTGGTTAATCTCGATTGGCTTGAGACACGCCTAGGAGATCAGCAAAGCACACTTCTGAGTGTGTCACAGGGATGTGACCATGGGGACTGTATCTGGTCCTCGGCAGCTTCGTCTCTGCCTCCTCCCCTACCGGGTGCTATGAATTAAGCAGCTGTCCTCTGCCACGGCCCTCAGCCATGGCGCTTCTGCCGTGGAGCCAGTTTACCATCGACCGGGACCTCCAAAGCCAGGAGCCAAAGTAAACCTCTCCTCTTTTCAACTGCGGGCATCAGGTCCAGCAGTGGGAAACTACCAGTGCACTGCCCGTCATTCACCCCTCCATCTACCTACCCATCCCGTCCCCCTGGAGACTCTAGGCTGTCAGGAGGCCGCTTGTGGCCCTGTGTGAGTCCTGGCAGAGTGGGCGTCCCGCAGTGTGGACAGGGGCCGTCCCTCAGGGGCTGTCTCTGGGAGCAGAGGTCCTTGAACCTCCTCTCCCTGCCCACAACCCTGTCCTCTGGACTGCCTGGGAAGATGAGACACAGTAACTTTGCAGTTGAGCCTTAGCTCCCTGACTCCCGGAGGCCAACAAGAGGGGTCAGGAGAAGGCCATGGCAGACACCAGGCCTTGTAAGTTAGAAGCCTGGCCCCATCCCGGGTAGGCAAAGCACACATTCCTCAAGCCTTTTGGGCTGGTTCCAGGATTTGTAGCAACAAACAGAAGGGGGTTATCCCAGAGGGAGGGGCCTCAGGTCCTTGTGGGACCTGTTTCTGGAGGTGCCCTGGGCCTGTGCCCAGTCTACTCTGGCACTGGGCACCCTGCTTGGCAGGTGAGGAGCGGCTTGGCCTCTGACAGCATGGGGGTGGGGGGTCCGCCTCCCCAGCCAGCTTGGACTCCCAGGCCCCCAGCCCAGCAGGCGTTCGGGATCCAGCTGGGTTTGTGGCTGCCCTGGCGTCTGTCACTGACAGGCAATTAAAGCTTGTTTGTTTAATTTTCTCTAATTATTCAGTGGAGCAGTGGAAACATGGAAACGGCGCTGGCAGAGCCAATCCTGTCCTCTGTTCCGTGACCAGATAAAGCCCTAGCCCGTTTCCCTTGCTAAGATGTGGTATTATGGTTTAGATCTAAAGTCAGCCCAAAAAGTCTCATGTCGGGTAGCACACTTCTCAGTGGGTTCATCATTGATGAGTTCAGGCTGAGTGCAGTCAGGAAGGGGCGTGGCTGGAGGTGGGCGCTGAGGCGGACGGAGGCCGTGTTCTCATCCCCGGCTCCCTCCTCCTCTCCGCTTCCTGGCCACCATGATGTGAGCAGCTTTTCTCCACTATGCTCTGCCATGCTGTTTCTACCTTTTGCTTCCCTCAATTTCCCCTCAATAAAAGGGGTCTACACTGGGCCAGCGCCGATGCCTCTGGGCCCCAGCTTCTGTGCTGCTGCCCTCTATCCTCAGTCTGTCCCTTCCAAGGCAGGATGGGAGTCGCAAGGTCAGGCTACTGTCATTTGCTTCTGGGCAGCGCCACTGCCCTGGACAGCTCAGCTCCCAGGACTCAGTCTCCATCTCCTGTGTAAGGTGGCTTCCAAGACCAGGCTGAGAGGGGCTTCACGGATAGGGCAGGAGTTGCAGGAAATAGGGTTACTGCAGGGTGACCCACTGTGTAGCCTGGGCTGTGGGCCCCAAAGGGGAGACTAGGGAGCACAGTGGTGCTGTTCCCAGCAGCCAGCTTTCTCTGAGAGCAGTCTTAAGTGGTCACAGCTGAGTCCAGCTGGAGGAGACCCCTGACCGGGTCAATACTCTAGTCCTAATGGGAAAAGGAAACCCAAGAGGCTGGGGTCAAATGTAGGGGGCGGGACAGGTGTTTGGGTTGCCGTGAGCGCTCAGTTACCTCTGTGTGGCAGACCACAGAAGAGCACTGGGCGGGGCCCGGTCCACGTCCATCAGATCCCATTTAGCCCACTGCCCTGGGTCAGCTCCGCCCCACCCAAGATGTTGATCTCAGGCCACAGGATCGCTTAGTGCCTCCCACCACTTGGACAAAGCTTTTGGAGGTCACTAAGGCACTTCCTGCACCCGTCATACTTTGGTCATCTCACCTCTGCCTCCCGCTGCCCTCAGTAGTCCCTGTCGTGGCCCACGGAGTATCTCACCTTCACAACCCCAGCTGGCCAGGCCACGCCCTCCCTGGACCACGCCCCCTAGAGCTAGGCCACGCCCTTTCACCGGGCTCCGCCCTCTCCCTCCAGGACGCAGCACCTGCGCTTTCCCAGACTTCAAGTACAGGCTGCCCAAGCAGTGTCGTTCCTTCCTCTGGACGATCCTAATTCCCCACCCGCTTTGCCTCACAGTCCATCTTCATCCTTGAAAAAGCAGCTCTGGCCCAGCCGAAGACGCGGTACAGCAAACAGGCGCGCACCTAGCCCACTGGCTGCACTGGTGTGGAGAGAAGCGGAGGGGAGAGAGAGAAGTCACCTTCCGCCTTCACTGTGAATTAAGTGACATGGTAATGACCTAGTAGTGATACCTCAGGCTCTCCCAAGTGGTTCCCACAAAGCTGTAGCCAGGACTCTACTACACCTCTCAAGCCAGAAGAGCCCTCTCTGAGCTGTGAGCCTATAATCCCAGCACTCTGGGAAGCTGAGGCAGGAGAATCACAAATTCAAGCCCGACCTGGGTGACTTAGAGACTTGAGACCCTGTCTCAAAATAAAAATTTTAAAGATGGGCTGGGGATATCACTCGGTGAGCAGGCCCTAGGTTCAATTTCCAGCACTGAGAAACAAAACAAAACAAACAAATTACTCCTCTCCAGAGCACCTATGTAGCTCAAGAGACTCCCTCTCTCAAGATGCCTGGACTTTGGACTCCACAGAGCCCCTGCAGGGAGCCTCCTGAGAAAGCAAACCTGCCAGCCTGATGAGCCCACAGCTCCCAGCACCAGTTCACCAGGCACAGAGAGCCTCGAGCCTAGAAGACAGGGCCAAACCAGAAAGAAGCAAAG